AAATAGAAGCTACGAAATTGTTTAGGAATTTCAAATATACATCGTACAATTCATGTAAAACGCTTGTGAAAAAACTGGGTGAAAAAGAGGTGAAAAAACGGGTGACATCTCACCTCTTCACCTAAACATTATTTTTATTGAATTTAGCAACAAAATTCTGAGTAAAATAATTTTTAGGGCTTGTGTCAAACCGTTGAGTTTTCACAAAATTTAAAAAAATAACGTTTACCATGTGAAACGTTTATAAAATAACTAGGGTGAGAAAACAGGTGAAAAAACGGGTGACATCTCACCTCTTCACCTAAATTATATTTTTGGTCAAAGCTTCCACGAGAGAAAAGATTCCTCATTTGCTAAGGATTCCAAAAATGAAAAAATCGTTGATTTCGGCTGAGAAAAAACGGCAAAAACCCTTCTTCCACGGGAACAAAGAAATAAAGAAGAAATAAAGTAAATTTTTTATTTATTCCCGTGGAAGATAGAGCACTTTTATGACACTTTTTATTCACGACAAACAAGACAAACAAAGAAAATAAGAAAATACGGCGCTGTCGCGGTTCGAACCACAGACCCTGACCCCTCCATAACACCACCTTTGACCACTGTGCTACGTAGCCTGTCGACATAAGATTTTATAAATTGCATATTTGACGTAAATTTATTTCCATCTGGCTTCCCACTGCATAAGATATTCATACGTGTTTGTAAGACATTCATTAAACTTCTTTTCTATTGCATCTAATCTTGCGTTATTTTTTTCAATAACTTGTCTGTATTCTTCATCATCTCCAGCAGTGTTTGGGTCTTCACGTTTAAAATATTCATTGTTAACCAATTTTTTATCTACAAATTTTATTAGTGTTTGATTCACTTCGTTATGATAACGGTCATATTCTTTCAATACGTAAGTGAAGACAAAATGCGTCGTACCTTCAATCTTAAAGCTTAAAGAACTTTCAACACAGTTTTGAGGGTCTGTCAGTGCGTCAATGAGATAGTATTCGAAGTCAGTCAATAATCTTTTTAAAGTCATTTCATACAGGATAAAATTTAATGTTGTGAAGAAATAGTGTTTATCTCAAAAAAAATAAAGTTAGTTTTTATTTTATTTATTTTTTTATCCTGTATGTAAAGACAGATATGTCAACATTAGAGAACACAACAACTGCTATCGTTCATGAAGTCATAAATGAAGAATACGAATACATACAGTATAACAAACAATTGAGACTCATTCGTTCTGTCAAAGACGACATGTACCAAATGCAAAGTATTTTGACGGCTTGTTTTGCTCCAGATACTAAGCTTCCTAAAGACTGGTTTAGGAACCAAAGCACCATAGAACTATTAAGTGAAGCACAGCGAGACGTACTTTTTTGAAAACAGTGAAGAACAGCGAGTAGGTAAAAAATCCCAGTCGCCAAAACTCTATGAAAACCGTGAAAAATTGCCAAACGGTTTGAGAGGATATTATGTTCATAGACTTTTAGTAAATGCAGTTGCAATGTGGGCTTCACCACGTTATGCTTGGAATATTTACAAACTTCTTGACGAACTTCACAGACAAGAACGTGGAGAGATGGAAAAGAAACTTCAAGCAAAAGATGAAGTCATTGAATCCAAAGACAAAAGCATACAGAAAAGAATACCGCGTTCAGTACCAAAAGGAAAGGAAAAGAACTATAAGTATATGATTTATACTGAAGAGTTGGAGAATGAAGAAGACAGAGATATGGTTATGTTGCATTTAGTCAGAAGAAACAACAAAAGCTTTTACGACCTTGCTAAAATATATAAATCTGACAGAAACTGGTTCTATCGTGAAAACTTACCGATTTCAATGACACCGAATGAGCAAATAAAAGAAATTGTCAAAAATACTCTTCCTCAAACACACTATGACATCAAAGGTTGCACAATACTTACCTTCAAAGAAGACTTACCATTACTGAAGGAAAAAATAACAGAATATTTCGATAACTTCAAAGAGGAAGAATGAAGTCACGACAACATTAACGAAGAAGTCACGACAACATTAACGAAGAGAGAATGAGGTGAAAAAACAGGTGAAATCTCACCTCTTCACCAAAAATATATTTTTGGTTAAATAGCTTCAGGGTCAATTTCTTCAACCATTTCACTTCCTTCGTCAATGTCAATAGAAGCTTCTTCAACCTTTGGTAAGAACTTTTGTATAACATCTTTGTTCGTTATTGTCTTCAGAGATGAAGGATAATATTTCACAGATGTTTCACCCTTCTTATATTCTTTCTGTTCGGAAAGATTCATAGCAATACTGAAGAAGTCAATGTTGGAGTTCTTTATAACAGTATAATGAGTATCTTTGACATTCACGAAGAAACCCTTTTGTTTCAAAACTACTGCTAACTCTTGTGAAGTATAACGTTTGCGGTCAATGACAATAGCTAATGGTCTGACATACTGACGAACTTAGATTCTTTCACAAACTTCTTGTTAAAGATAACATTAACGTTTGCAGAACCATTGAACTCATTCTTGATGGCAGTAGCGAGAGCATTGTATGAAAAGAACTTGCAATCTTGCATGTGTTTCATTAAAATAAAAATATTAAATTATTTTGAAAAATAACTTAAAAAAATGTAATCTAATTTTTCAAAAAATATTTTTTATCCGATAGAAAAGATGACAGAAAAATTAACTTTTTACATAGCGCCAGACCCTTCTTGCCACATCCTTTTAAGCCACAATATATAGACATAGAACTAAATAGAGAAAGCGAAATTCCACAATATATATACATAGAACTAAATAGTGAAGGCGAAATTCTACAAACAGAAGAAAGCGAAATTCCACAAACATATAGAGACCTAGATAACGAAAATGGATATGCGCTATTCTGGTTAGATTGTCCTTATAAAATGTATGAAAAAAAGGCTTTATATGAAGAATATAGAAAATATTGTCATGAAAACGATATAAGACCAAGCTCTAGAGAAAAATTCTATGCTGGTATAAAACATCTTTTCGAAGTTCGGAATGGCAAATATATAAAGAAATAATTTTTCTAAGTTTATTTTTTCGAAAAAATATTTTTTTATTTCCTACTAAAGATGTATCGGAAGTTGTCTAAGTTAGAACACTCGGAAATAAAACAACTTCTTACAGAAGCTAATATAGATGTTGCAAAGCATTACGCGAACAAACAAAAAAGCACTCGCTGACTTCATTAAAGACTACAATGGTGCAATAAGTTATGATAGAATTCATGAGTTCATAAAGCCGCAACGCGGCGAGGACGAAGTCCATGCAATAGCATTTCCTTTAAATGACGTTGCTATTGACTATATCATAGACGTTCAATAGCTCATGAAGTAAGGCGTGAGATGTTTGACATAACAAATGCGAACGTTGGTGAAACAAGAAGAAGAGACGACACACTGAAACAACAGAGAAGAGAGATGTTTAAAAGTGCTATAGAACAAGTTCGCAAAGCTAACGATGTCATTCGTTCCATTGACGACAAACCAAAAGAAGGTGAGAGATGGTTAAAGAAAGATGAAGAGAATAGGAAGAGAAATGTGAAGTCAGGCAATAGACTCATTGACTTTAACATCGAAGCTTTAGATGAACCAAACAGAGACTACTTACACAAACATTTCGGTAAGGTTTTCATGAGACTCTTAGAGAAAATTAAAATAAACTCACAACAAAGATGGATGGTATGTTATAAACTTGGTGGAAAGTATGAATGTTCTACGTTAAACCTCAATAATATTGGAACATTACTACATCAGCTCTTGAAGGAGAACTTTATATCAGAGATAGAAGCAAATGCTGCAGGTATTGTTGAAATGCACTATGACTTCTTCTTGACAAACATAAAGAATCTTACTGAAATAAAGATGTATGATTTAACAGAATATGAAGGCTTAACGATGTCAGATGTAAAGAAAGGCAAACCAAAAAAGAGACCATATAGAGATGAAAGCACACTGACAAATGACCAGAAAGCCATTTTGGAAGCTCTTAAGCAAACAGGAAACCCAGCACTTATAGAAAGCTTTTGGAAAGATAATGGTGAAAAGAAGTTTTATAAGAAGAGAAGCGGTCAGTTATGGAAGTATCTTTGCACATTACCTATAAATCTTGAACGCTACCAAATCTTCAATGAACTGAACAAAAGAACTGCAATACTTATGACAGAGGACAATTGTTTCGTTTATGCTTGCATTCAGGCTGGAGTAAATGAAGAAACTATTGACCACATGAGAGAAGTCATTCGTGTTAGAGACTTTCCTCAAAGTAAAGTACAAGAAATTTCTGACGCAACAGGTATAGCATTTAATGTTACCATTGGTTATTTCAATGACTCAAGACATAATGAAATAAAGAGATATATACCAAAAGAATGCGAAACTGTTAGAACTATTGACTTACTTCTTGTTGAAGACCACTACATGCTAAATGAAAGACTTCCAATGACAACATACTTCATTCGAAACTATAAAGAAATTCTCAAAGCTTGTGGTGGAATGAACATTGAGAAACAGATGAAGATTTATACAAAGAGAGAAGATAAATATGTAGTTCGTTATGATAGAACAACACCGTTATGGGATGTTATGAAAACATTGTGGGAGTGCAAATATTTCGAACCTATTTCTTATGGAGAACTTTTCACATATACTACTGACTTATATAAACAGAACCTTGCACCATTTAAAGATTTGACATATGCTCCAAAGTATTGTGTACAACTGAAGAAGAAAGCAGAGTCAAAAGAAGTAAATAAAGCTAAATGTAAATTCATTCCTGAGCACGTTTTCTTTGCTGACTTTGAGTGTAGTACGGATGGCTTTCATAAAGCTTTTAACATCTGTTATGACAGTGAAGATGGTTCAGTGAGTGAAAGCATTTGGGGTCAAAACTGTGCAACAGAATTTTTGGAAAGACTCCCTGACAAGAGTTTAATATATTTTCACAACCTCAGTTATGACATAAACTTCATCTTAAGACACATGACAGAAGTGAAAGGAACTCCCATCATTAAAGGTTCACGAACAATGCAAATAACTGGTTTATATAAAGGACGGGCAATTATTATAAAAGACTCTTACAGTGTTATAAATAAGAAGCTTAAACTATTTCCTGCTATGTTTAACTTACAAACAGGACCGAAAGAAGTATTTCCATATAACTACTACAGCAGTGTTTTGTTAGCAAATGACAACAGAACTGGTGTCATTTCTGAAGCATGTAAGTTTATCCGGGATGCAGATACATTTATGAAAAACATAGATTCCATCAAAGGTTGCAGAATAGATGAGAACCACTTCGACTTAGAAAAATATAGCACGTTTTACTGCAAACAAGATGTAAGAATTTTAAGAGAAGGTTTTGTAAAGTTCCGCAATGACTTATTGAAAGAGTTTGATTTAAACGTTTATGACTACGTTAGTATTTGTTCAATTGCTAACAAATTGTTTGAGAACAGAGTATACTTCCCGAATGGAAATCTTTATGACCTCTCAAATAAACCAAGAGAATTTATTTCGAGATGCATTCAAGGTGGAAGATGTATGTTGTCAGATAACATGAAACAAAAGAGCAAAAAGAAACTCATTGCTGACTTCGACACTGTTTCATTATATCCTTCAGCTATAGCAAGACTTTATACTTTAGAAGGTATTCCAAAAGTATTGAAGGAAGAAATGTTAAACACAGAGTATCTCATGAGACATTTATTCGATGATGACCAAAAGGAACCCATTGGTGAAAAGTTTATGTCTGGCTTCTTTGTTCTCATTAAGATAACAGAGATTGGTATACCCAGACACTTTCATTTAATAGTTTGCGACCCTGAACTAAATCCAGAACTTAACGTTCCAAGAAGTTCAAACACTTGCTGTCTCATGTATGTTGACCATATAACATTACAAGACCTCATAAAATATCAAGGTGTCAAATGTGAAGTGTTGCAAGGATACTATTACGATGGAAACAGAGATATGAGAATAAGAGATGAAGTAAAGAAGTTGTTTGAGTTAAGGTTAAAGTATAAGAAAGAAGAAAACCCCTTACAAGAAATTATAAAACTCATTCTGAACAGCATTTATGGCAAAACTATTCTATCTCCTATTGAGTCAAAAATAACCATAGTAGATGACAAAGATGCTATAAGATATGCTATAAGAAATTACAACCATATAGTGAAGTTCGAAGGTTTGGATGGTTCAGATAAAACTATTTTCAAGCTAACGAAAAGCATTTGCAGACACTTTAACTTCTGTCCACTTGGTGTTAATATTCTGTCTATGTCAAAACGTATTATGAATGAAGTATTCTGTACTGCAGAGGACATGGGTCTTCAAATATTTTACCAGGATACCGACAGTATGCACTTATATAATGAAGACATCCCAAAGCTTGCAGCAGAGTTTAAGAAGAGATACGGTAGAGAACTTATAGGAAAGAACCTTGGTCAATTTCATAGCGACTTTGCAGAAATAACACCTGGAAAACAAAGTTTAGCTTATAAAAGTATTTTCTGTGGAAAGAAGACCTACATAGACTTACTCACGAATGATTTAAATGAAGTTGCATTTCACTGCAGAATGAAAGGCGTGAAGCAAGATGTTATTGCTTTAACCGCTAATGAAATGTTTCCTGAAGCTATACAATGCTATTACAATGAAGATAAGAACATTCACATACCTGTTGGAACATATGACAAAGACTCTGAGTTCAGTTTAATGAAACTTTACAAAGCACTTTATGATGGTCAAGAGATTGCATTCGACTTATGTAAGTCATGTCAACCTTGCTTTGCTGAAAAGTTCAACTTTTCAATAACGACTAAAACAAGCTTTATTCGTAAGTTGAAGTTCTGAGGTCATTTATTTTTGTCAGCAATGAGGTCATGAATGAGGTCATGAATGAGGTCATTCGTGATAAAAATAAAGCTAGCGTAGATTTTACAATACTGCGATGGTAGAGTTTAAGAGTTGTGCTTCAATGTAGAGACAGTCTTATGGTCTGGAGGTAAGAACACTGGACATTTATGGTCATGAGTGGAGAACATGTCTATCCAAAACTCACGATTGAAGCCAGTTAATTTATAGTATTTAGGGTTAGGAAGTGGTGAAGTTCTTGTATGACCAATGAACTCATTTTCAACTCCCTTACTTAAGTTTGAATATAATATAGCTTGCTTTCTATCCCAAATGCCAGGTGTTACAATCTTTGAAAATTCATTTTTCCTCGGAAGTATTGCATCATAATTGAAAACATTCTTAAAATCATCACTTGGTTCAGAGATTTGAAACCTTATACGTAATGGATTTTCTTTCTTTTTAGCGACTTCATTGAATGGTGAATATATAACAAACTGACAGTCATGAGTTCCATCTTCATTTTCATTAAATTCATAATGAAAGTCTATAAGTTGTGGCTGACTACCTTCTTCTTTCAGTTGTGCAAGAAACTCACGTAAAGGCTGTAAAGTTTGTACTTCAATATTGAACTTTTTCTCGAACATCTCATTAAATGAAATCATACATTGCAACAATGTTGTATCGTCTTTAAAGTATTTGTATATGTGAATGTTTTGGGCGCTTAAAGACTGTTCGTCATTTTCTATCTCGACTTGAAGTATAAAGTCAACCTTTCTGAAAGCACGTGTTATATACATAGATGTTATGCCAATGTACTTCTCTTCATTTATGTTCACAATCCAGTCTGTTGGAAACTTAAACGTTACTCTGTTCCCCTTTATTTTGACGTCAGGGTTTTCACTACTGAACGCAACAGATAAAGGTATTTGTCTATACATTTAGTTCGGATAAAAATAAACCATTTACTCTTTCTTTGCTTCAGCTTCCTTTGCTTTTTGTCTTCCTTTGCTTTTGCTTCTTCTCTAGCTTTTTTCGCCAGCAAACGTGGGTTCTTCTGTCTTCCAGCAGCTAATGCAGCTAGTTGTTTTTCACTAAGTTTTCTCTTTGGTCTCTCTGGCTTTTGTTCTTGTTTTTGTGTCCTTCAGCTTCGGATAATAATTTGTTCACGA